GTAGTTAATTTATTTGATTACTTATTGTTAGGATTTTTTGTAATTAACCACCCTTCAATACACCATATTTTGAAATAACCACCCATTTTTTTCAATATGATAAAATACCACCTTTTTTTTTTCAAAAGCATCAACTTTCACTACCTCTTAACCAAAAGTTCCATTTTTAAATATTAAAAAATATTGATTTTTGAGCCAAAACTTGCCCTAGTAGGGTTTTAGGGGGCATTTTGGTCCTTTGGAATTGATTTGAGCTCAGAATTTGAAAAAAAGTTATCAAAAATGCCTCATTTTGTATGTGTCACACAAATCGAGTTAATTATTAGCACACAAAACAAGACATTTTCGATAACTATTTTTAAATTTTGACCTCAAATTGAGCCCAAAGGGCCAAAATCACCCCCCAAAACCTTAATAGAGCAAGTTCTGGCACAACAGTCGATGTTTTTTATTTTTAAAATGGAACTTTTTGTTATGAGGTGGTAAAAGCTAACGCTTATAATATTGAAAAAAATGGGAGGTTATTTCTAAATAGGGTGTATTGTGGGGTGGATATTTACAAAAAATCCTCATTTTTACTTCCTCCATTCTTTTTTACTTGACCCACTTTGACTTTTACACTATTCATCACCCTTCCTTTGACCGTCTTTTGTGAATAATATGTAAGGAAAAACATATTCACGTGGGATCTTTTTGAAATCATCTCAATAAGTACTATCATAATATATATACTTTTATAATTTTTACTTATGGAGAATAAAAGTATTGAGTTTTGCATTGACAATCGTGATAAAAGAAACAAATCAAATAAAAAAAGAACAGAGGAAGTATTTAATTTGCTACTTTCATGATAGGATTTTTATAATTATTATTTTCATGCTCATATAAATTAATTTGTATTATCAATATTATTATGTTGTTTCCTTTTTTTTTTGACGTATTATTTTATTTATTTTGATGATCACCTTTTGATTGTCTAATCAAGAATATGTAATTGAAAATCACCCCGAATAAGATAATTTAGAACACCAGTTTAGATTCCTTTTTAATCTTGTGAAGTTGTGGACTTAATAAGTGATCACAAATATTTAGAATTATATGTGCATTAATATTCAACCAACTTATTAGTTTGGAGCAAATTGAAATTTGATTGTATGTCTATTAAATCGCAAATTAATACTCTTGTCGCAATAAGAGTCGAGTTGAGGCCAATGCGGGAAAATTTGTCTCATTGACTCAATTTCATACCACGATCCTCCAGTCGTGTTTCATTGGCCATATGTATGGAGTTAGTTTTCTCATGGATTACGAATGGGGTTTAACAACAATCATAGATGAAATTTGTTGTTTTCTTTGTCCCTTTCGATAAAATCCATAAATGGTTTACAAGTTCCTTAAAAAACTTTTTAGCGGCTCCCTATTTTATCCCTTGTCCCTGTCGTACATGTCAAATCCAACTTCTTACGATTGACGAGCATATTCACACATGCTTAAGTGTAACACCCTAGAAATTTCTTTCTTTTAAAATACGAAATAGAAAATTCTAAAACATTATCGCCACTGTGGCTAAGACAATTATCAAAGACACACAGCAGAAGACTCACGTTAAACCATTCAAAAGAAGTCAACTTTTAAAAGTCAAATCAAACGAATGTAAAGTCAAACCAAAGTCAAACGAAGTCAACCTACAACTTGGAACCATTGTAAGTCTTTTTCAAAATCCAAACGAATAATAAAATCATTGTGTTAGTCTCACAGGCAAATATATAATAATCAAAGAAAATTAAACACATACATCATATTCTTATGGAAACTAAACTAGATTCGCTCTTCACTGATGCCCATCATGAATATGCTCCATCACCTGTAAAACCCCTCTTTACTTTGTCCCCACTACTCGCCATTATAAATGGGTCGTCGTAAGGCCAAGATAAAGATAAGGCCAAACAAACATACAATACACAATCAACAATAATGTTGAGTACATAAGCGTAAATGATTCACAATAACATGCATACATCCTAGTATCACACAACTTACCTTGTTACACCTATTTACAAGCATACAATACACATTTCATTCAATAGACACTTTCAATGCCTATTTAATTTAATTACGCATCGAAGCTTAATAATACGGGAGCTAACTGTACCAGTATAAAAGAACCACTCGTAAGTGGCGGAATTCCTGCGCATAATAATAAAAAGGAAAATACAGCGTCCTGTACTCCCAGTAGAAGGTATGGTTAAATATAAAACCCCATAACTCCCCCCATATGTTCATATGCGAGGTATGTACGTTCTAAGAGTTTTAGTGCGTAATCTCTTTCACTTTACGTTGTTTACATATTTTAGACTTGGCGATGACTCTCAATTTACAACACAATCAATCATCATAAATTATTCAAGCAATCAAACACACCAATTTAATAGTTGAATAATTAGTGACTACATTTAATTTAATGTTGAATCCTTTTTAAATTCCTTCGACGTTTAATAACACCTTAAGCGCATATAATGCACCACAAATCCTATCCCTCGGTGTTTAGAGCACCTTAAGTGCACTTAGGCACCAAAATATAAATTAATCCTCGTGTACATAGACGCTTAAATAACTCCTTTCCTATGCTTACATCATCAATATAAATTATATGAACCATAATAAAATTCCCTTTTCATAATCCAAACCAAATTAAACATTTAGTTTAATCAAACATGCCCTTGATCATGCCAATAATAAAAGTGTGGTCCATATTCAACATGCCATCATAATTAATTCCAATCAATAATTCGCCTCAAATAATTCATGCTTCGTAAATCAATCACCAAAATCAATCCAACCAATAATTCGAACCAATACCTTTCATGATACTAACTTGGAATTAAATAAACAAGTCCTAGCATGCTTCTACACACTTAAATAATTACCGAGTACGCGAATGTATCTCGAATATGATCTCAAAATCGCCACGACTACACGAAATCACTCACTTGGAAGTCTCCTACAACCCAAAATTACAAAGAGACATTAATACCTATTCATAATAAATTTCTAGCAATATATATACTCTTTAAAACATTTTTAAACCTTCTAAAACATGCTGAATTAATTAAAACCATCTACTTTTATTCCCAATTAATGGGTAATTAAAATCCTTTCAAGAAAACTTAATTCTAACCACTACATAAAAATTCCAGCATTATTAAAACTCTTAAACTTGCTGTAATTTAGTTTAAAAATACTAATTTCAATAGTTTTAATCAACCACAATTAAATTCCACCAATAAACATCAATTTAGAAACCTAGGGTTTATCAATTTGGGGCTTTTTAATACAAAAGCCAAATCTAAAAATTATATACATATTAGTCATCATTAAACATCATAAAATCATCACACACACACCCAATTTCAATAATTAATCAAAGCTAGATAAATATTAAAACAAAGAGAAGAGTTTATTTATTTATTTATTTTTATTTACACAACCGCACGCACGCACGGGGGAGGGGGCTGCTATTGCCGGTTAATGTTGGTGGCGGTGGCCGACCGGTGGGAAGTGGTGGTGGTGGTGGCCGACCGGTGGGAAGTGGTGGTGGTGGTGGTCGACCACCCTAGTGTGCGTGTGTGTGTGTGTTTGTGAGGGGGAAAGGAAACAATTAAGGGAGAGAGGAAAAACAAAAATAAGAGGAGAGAGAAAGAGAGTTTACCTTTGGGTATTTTCCACCTTGGCGTCTAATTTGTTCATAAGGTGGGTATTTATACTCTCTCTCAAAACCCTCCTAACTAAATTTTCCTTTTTACCCTTAATGATTCTCATTCCCATTTAACTTGGAATTTTGACTTTAATTAAATCCTTTTGACTTTAAAACTCCTTTATAAATCCAAAATGCCCCAAATCTTTCAAATTGATGAAATAAAATATTTCTAAAACCAAATAAAATAAATAGAAATGAGTTTTTAATTATAATAAACCTTTTAAATTATTAAAATACCATAAATAATTCATTTCAAGTTATTTAAATACGCCATAAAATAATACTTTAATTTGATATACGTATAAAAATACGGGGTGTTACATTAAGTAGGCGCACTTCATGCAACGCCTACACTCTTTTGCACGTTAAAGGAGAGGATAATCTTGTTGAGGATTAGGGGGTTTATCTAGCTAGTAGACTTCTACGCTAGTACAATTAAACTCGGGGAAAATCAAGCAGAGTTTTTGACTCCGACACCACCTTGAAGTCTTTGATGACATAAGTCAGGAGGAATTAGAGTAAGATTAAACCAATTATTACATTAGTGTCTTGCGTTGTGTTATAATGATTTTGTGCTTTGTTGTAATGATTTATTAGTGGGAAGCCCATTATTCCTAATCCATTTTTTTAATGCATAGTCTTTCGCCATTACTCTTCTTATCTAGTGATTTAATTTCCAAACAAGGAGTTAATTAATGTAGTGACCTTTGAAGTCTACACTTGCATGGTCCTTGTGGAAAAACCCTAACACATCAATGTTTAGGACAAAATAGATATTACTTAGACTAGGGTTTCAACAATCCAATCATGCAAGATTGGTGTGCCTAAGAAATTCTATATGTTTATGTGTATGATGTAAGATTGTATCACCTTCCGCCTAGTGTTCAATGCATTTTAATTGGACTTGATCATGTTTGAGCTCTTTCCACGGTCCATATGATTGCCTTTTGGTTTCTATCTAGTATTAAAAGTATCTAAAGATTTTTAAATAATGGTACTTTTTGTGCGCATAATATCCTTGCGAGCTTGCATGCCTAAATATTAGTAGTATTTTTGGCTTATGTACTTTGGGCATGTTTAATTTATGGGCGTGGATTCTTCGATCTCTTTATTCAAGCAAGTTATATTTTCATTATTAGACCATTTCAATCCGATGATTCAAGGGATTCGAATGCAAAACTTTTAAGCATTGAACTAAACTCCTTAGCTTACTTAAACTTCAATGAATGAACAAGGGACTAAATACAAATCTCAAAAGTATATGTTTCTCTCACATCACAAAAATCAGGAACAATCAACAAGATTTACGTTCCTAGCGAGCCCTAAATCATTTTTATAACAGTGGCTTTTTAACGCCAAATCAAACAAAAGAAATCAAAGAATTGGTTTCTAATTACAAAAATTACCAACAAATTAAAAATCAAATATTTTTTTTAAAAAAACACCTCTTCTACCAAGTATTAAGAATCTGAGGTAGATTCTTAATTAATGAAGCTGGAAAACTTCGTTTCCCAAACTTGATTACAATCCGATGACAAATATTTGAACCTACAACTGCAAAACAAACACGTATTTTTGTTAGAGAAAGGGCTATAATATAAAAATAAGCTTAATTATTTAATTGGCAATGTATTGAAGGAAAAAAAATTGGTAAAAACTTAGGAAATAGAGTATTTACTTACAATTTTACATTGCTGACGATTTTCCTGTGCTCTTTTTTTTTTTTTTTTTTTTTTTTCAATTTCCTTTTGACTTTTTTTTTTAATAAATAATTTGAATTGAAGTTATATTCATTGACCGCAGTACGCAAATTGTGAATCTTGTCCAAATGCTGCAGCTAATGTACATGCTACTTCCAACAACTTCCCTGCAAATTGAATTATACTTTACATTAGTAAATCGGACCAATAAATAAAGTCAGCTCTTTAATTTTACAAATCATGCATGCATAGTCCTTAATTAAAATAATTAACATTTGAACAACTGACAAGAATATCTCTGACTGAAAGCATGACAGCTTAATTCTATGTACATACTTCCCTCGGCCACAATTAATAGTCGAGCATACTATTGTGAAATAATGTTCAAAGAAATATAATTCAAAGAAAATACGGATTATTATTGAGTTTCTTAACATCTCAGTTTATTAATTGAAAGAGACAATAGGTAGATATAGAGTAAGTACACATTAGTAAAAATTAGGAATATTAAAAAGAAGGAATTGAAGTGCATTCAAGTTGGACAAAAGGACAGGACAATTATGACAATGAAATAAATGCAAATTAAACAACTCAATTTTTTATTTACTATTCGGGGATGTAAAATTATTAGAGATGCAAAATCTAATTTTTGGCTGGAAAAGTATGTAGCAGCAAGAAATGTGGATCACACAGCTAAGCTGTGTATATATTTACAAATATATACTACTAATACATACGAGTACATAATAGTGTAATACAGAGTATATATCTTTACATAATTAAATAAAAAATATATATATATTTTTTTCAGGAAATATTTATTTTAAAATTGAATAGTAGTTGAATCCTTAATTCTTCTGTACGCAAAGTTGTTGTAGCTGGCCACTTCATTATAACAGCCAATTTGTGCAATAAAAGAGGGAACAGTTACATTATAGCTAAAGTTATGTAACATAGTTGTACATATCAATGCTTTGAAAACTGAAATTCTTTGATGTCTAAAAACTTGAATTGAAATTAAATTCCGTCTATATTATTGTATATTTGTGGCTTCGACTTGCGCACTAAAACTAATAATTTATGCAGTTGAATTAATGGAAGAAATAGTGGGTCATGCCAGCCTATACTGAGGTGAATGTGTGACAAAAATTCATTTATTTTCGATTAGAAAGGTCATTTGATTATATGAAAGTGGAATAATAAAAACCAGCAAAAACTTTTCAATAATTTCCACGTTGTCCCACTTCAATCAATATCACCAACCAATTAAACAATGTTTAGTCAATAAATAGCCCTATATGAGCTGGCATTGGCCAAAAAATGCAATGAAGCACTTTAAAATATGTCCAGGCGAGATATTCTTATTCTTATAAAGTAGGGCAGTTGCAATTCTATATTTTATTTTGTCTTAATATTCAACTTGACTTGAGCTTTTGGTCGTAATTCTCTGTTATACATTTCTACTTATCCTCCTGGTATACTTGCTCTTTTTTTTGTCGGTTGGTTTTTTATCCGTAAAATATACGAAAATGTTATATATATTCAGATGTATCTGTAAATATACGTACTCATATTCAAAAAAATAAGCTCCTAAAGATTCATTGACTAAATTACCTGAATATTAGTGTACGTAAACAAACCTTATACAAATATTATACGCCGATTATTTCCGTTTTATAATGAATAAAATCAAATTATCTGACACTATTTGAACAGTGATTTAAGCTAGTAAATAGACATATTAATAGAAATAATTTACATTTCTTATTGGTGTCGGTTTTTACCATAATCCATTATTCTAACTACTATTTCTAAATTTGGAACCAAGCTAACTATTCTATAATTGACACTACTATACTTTTTTTTCCTTGACAAATTAATTTAACAAGTAGACCTAACGAATATAGTAGAGTAGGTACTTAACTACTTTTTTATTTGTTAATTGTTACTAATAAACATGCAAAAGTGTAAAAAAGTTAATAACTTAATCATGCAAAATCATTACCAATTAAAATAAAATAAACAAAGTTTCATAGAAGTTACCTCTTCTTTGCTTTACGACGACCTTTTTCACAGCAGCCGGAGCCTTAACCTCTTCCGCCGGAAACAAAACACCGTCAATCCCTTGAACCGATATTCGACCGTCGGTATAAATATCTGGGTCAAACAAATAAGCCGAACCATCACCCGACCCGAACCGAACCGATCCATCAGCCTCTTCAGCTGCCACCTTATGAGGCAAACGCAGCGTTTCATAGCTTACTTTACCGAAACGCCTCACTGAACTGTACATACTCTCTTCCGTTTGGTACTCGGGTATTATATGGTAATACATTATTTGCTCGGGTGCACCTGGCTCGCTTAGTTGGTCTGCGGTCAATCGACCCAATGCTTCGTCATTTGGAGCTAACACTGTAATTACATAGCCTTCTGATACTAGTCGTCCCATCTCAGTGGCAAGGGATGTGAGGTTTACTAGGATGTCGGCGAGCTCGTTGTAGCCGCCGTAGTGTACTAGGGTTGTGATGAAGTCTTTGACCTGGCTCTCACCATCGAAATGATGGTGTGGGCCGCCAGGTCCAGGCGCTGGCGCCGGGGCAAGAGATGGTCCTGGCGCCAGCGCGTCAAAGATGGGAACAGTTGGGGGAGCGCCAGCTGGTCCTATCTTTGACCCCTTTTTCAAGTGAGTCTTCTTTCGAGAGTCTACTGTTGGGGCGCCTGTTGGGAGTACTGCTGAGATAGTGCGGAGTTCCCGGCGGCGATTGAAGTTCTCGAGAACGGAGTGCGGGATAAGAAGCTTGTCAATCCCGTGGATTAGGCCATCCGGTCTTACGATTGAGTTTCGGTCGATTACCTCCACCGACTCCTCGACCAACAATCTCTTATCTCTTAACGAGAAGCGGAGATGTTGGTTAGACAATGCCCTCTTCTGAGTCGACTTAACTCGTTTGTTTAAGTCGACTGTAGAAGGGACAATATGATGAAGAATGAGGCTTTGGAGGGACTTAAGATTCCGGGGTTCAAGCAAGAACTGCTTGAACTCCGGGTTCAAGTCCCTTTCTAAAGCCTCATTCTTCGGAGCAAAGATAGTCAGATTACTCTTTCCCACCAAATCCTCAAGCGACTGCAACAACAGCGCCTTCTCCACCAGCTCAGCCAACTCAGTATAAGACGAGTCGAGAAGGGCAACTAGAATGGAATTAGAGTTGATCTGTCCTATTCCATTGGACTGATTAATAGATGCAAATGCTGAAGAAAAAGATAGAAATATGATGAAAATGATGAATTTGGTAAGGCCATGGTGGTGGTGGGAGGCATCCATGGCGCCTAATGCGGAGAACTGAAAATGGAATTATTGGAAAAAAAGAGGGAAAATCAGTGGGTTTGTTTTGTTGTTTGGTCCTTTATAAAAAAAAAAAAAAATTATAAAAAATAAAATAAAATTTGAAGGTGTTGTTTAATTCTTGTGTTTTGTGTAAGCAATGAAAGTAAAGCATGTGATTTAAGGCAGGGTTTGTTTGGAGTTGTGGGAATAAATGGCCAATTGAGGGTAATTGCTTAGAGATGATATATAAAGCTTGACACGTGGCTATTTTGAGATTGAAAGCTTAACAGACTGTAGTTGTTGGGCCCACACGTAGTAGTAGTGTCTTAGCTAACAATTTATATGAAACCATTTACGTTCTCTTTTAATTAACCAAATAAAAAGATTGGATTATTTTAATTTAATTGATGGGAATTACGACATGATGAAATTCATGCACTTTAGAATTAAGATTAATGAGTATGGCTTTTGCATTATTAAATTTATTATATATATATATATTGTTTTTTTAAGAAGATGCTATGAACCTTCATCCTAGTACAAGTAATTTAACAAACACAATACAGTACAGAGTATTTTTGAATCTTCTAGTATCACTAGTTGTTAGATACGCGCAATGCATATGTATACATGAGTTTTATTTGAAATTATTTATATTTAAATATGCAATAATATAATCGATGGAGTTAAATCAACAAATCTCATATAATACAACTTTTTGGTGCAGCAGGTCAACCGTGTGGCAGGGGTTATCTGAGTTATTTTGTTAGGGGTTATTCGAGTTATTCAGTCAGGGGTTACTCGAGTTATTCGGTCAAGGGTTACTTGAGGGGTTCTGTTTCGGGGTTTTCTGACGTCCTGCGGAAGAGTTACAATTCCAAGATTGGAACCGGACGCCTGTACTTGCAAAACAAACGGAGACTCCGGGTGGATGGAGCTTCGCCTTCGACGGTCAAGTTAGTACTTGTTTAAGGAGTAATTAATGCGGAAAGGTAAGTGTTTTTCTCTAGGTGAGAGTAATTAATAACCGTAATCCCCCTTAAGGAGGATTAATGTGCATATTTATATGCCTTGGGATGCGTGCCAATTCCTAGGTTTAGGTTAAACCTAAGGCTGACTGGGCTTTTTCCAAGGATTGGGCCTAGGTGGCCGGTTATCCCAGGTGTCATGGGAAGGACACGTGTCGTGTCGTAATTGGTCCATAGTGGACGGATCATTGCTTGACACGTGGCAGGCTCCTATTGGCCCATGTGACGGACACATGGCGGAACCTGATTGGTCTACTTGTCAGATGGTGATTGGTGGGGAAAAATCCCCTAATCATTTGCCCCTCACAGGTGGCACGTGACTGTTCACATGTCACCTGTGACAGGTGTCGGCTTGTAACAGGCGACGGACTGCTACAGGTGTCGCCCCATGACGGGCCGAGCATTTTTCCCGCTCATTTTTTGAAATTGAAGACGACTCTTCGCATTCTCTTTTGCCCTATATAAAGGGATGTTGACCAAGTCATTTGTTCACATTTGCGAACTTTTTCAAGAGAACTCTCGGACCCCTAAACTTGAGCTCTGACACTTTGCAACTTCTAACTTGCCAGGACGACTGTTTTACTAGGCGCCTACTTCATTCAAGCTTTTTTCATAACTTAAGTTTCAGGTAACCGTCTGTTCCTTTATTCTTCTTTGCTTTTGTACTTTTTCTTTCTTTTTGAAAATGAGACCTCAAAAGCATCCGGCACGGCCTAGGTTAGCAATCAGCCGGTCACAGGGAACGGCTGAGTCTAGGATTAGGGGTGCCGACTGCCCTGCGATAATTCAAACTTTGCGCAAGTCCCGGAATCCAACTGTCTTTGTATCTATGCAGGACAGTATGGCAAGAACAAAGAAAACCAAGAGAATAGAAAACTCTGATGGCTCCTCTTTCCGGGTTCCGATTAGTGAAACATCGGACCAGCCGCCTGATACTGCAGGGACCCAAGGCGGCCCTTCTGCCGAGAGCTCTGAGGAGGGAGCTAAGGTAGTTCCTTCCCATTTCACTGTTGACCTGGCCAGTCGGCAAGTGACCCCCGAAGAACAAGAGGGGTCGGCCCCTTCAGGAAATGGGGAAGAGTTAGACTCCTCTGATAGTGAGTCCAGCTCTAGTTCGTCGAGCCGCCTCTCTATAAGCTCAGAGGAGAGGCACAGTCGATTGCATGAGGCGAGAGACTCTCACGCGGCTGAAAAGGGAGAAGGTTGGTCGGAACCGTCCGCCTCTCATAGGGAGTTGAACACTCCGTATTATTGCCATGTACCCAAGGGCCGAATCAAGGCCATGAAGGAGTGAATAGAGACTTTCCTTTCGGACCATACAATGGGTCCGGATTATCAAATATTTGTGCCGGATGGTGAGGACACCGTCGTCTGGCCTGAGGGCTCCAGTTATGGGGACGCCTGCTTTGGCTGTTATGAGGCGGCCATCAAAGCTGGATTGCGATTTTCTCTGCATCCGGCTGTTCAACAAATCCTCGATGGGTTCGAGGTGGGGCTTTGGAAATTGGCCCCTGACTCCTGGTTCAACATCCTGGGCTATGTAGCCGGATGTGAAATGCACGGGGTAGAGCCGAACTTCGAGGCGTTCGCTCACATGAACTACCTCAGCCGGACCCCCAAAGCAAGCGGTACCGGCTGGTACCAATTAACGAGCCACAAGGGCTACCTTATGACCAAGGGCAAAGAGAACAAATGGAAGGATTGGAGAAACACCTTCCTCATTATTTCCAGCCCCGACCGCCTGTTGAACAAACGCTACAATAGGTGGAACAAGGACCCACCTCTTTTAGCAGGCGGTTGCAGCATGCCGCTTGTTCCCCTCAAGGCCAGGGAAGAGATCCTGGACCAAGGGTTGTTCAAGGTAGAGATTAGGGCAAACTCTACCACTGGGGTACGAGAGCAGGTTCCCTTAAAATGCGTCCCAGAGTTTCAATGGCTCTATGACGAGTTTTTCCTGGCCGCTTATGGCCTTAGCACTCGGTCCTCTAGAGGTAGTCGGCCACTTGAAAATATGTACCCTTCATTTTGATTTGTTTGAAAATCTTTCTAACTTTTGTGGTTCTTATTTGTAGCTGAAGCCATGGACCAAATCACTGCTTCCAAGAAGGTGGCCGCCATGCTACGAGCCTCCATAATGCAACAGAAGCGGACTGCTTCTAACTCTCCTGCAAAGGAGACGCCCACCGTGAGTTTCGATCCTTTGTACTCGTTTTTATTAGACTGTTTTAACGAATATTGACCACTCGTCTCTTTTGCAGGCGGGCACTTCCAAACCCTCATCCTCCCACCAACCGGACTCTAAGGTTCGGAAGACGACAGGTGGGAGTATGCCTGGATCTGCCAGGAAACAGTCGGCTGACAAGCAGCCGGCCACCCCACAAAGTGTGGGGAACCCACCACTCGTTCTGACTCGGCCGCCATGAGGTATAGCTCGCTCTACTAGACTTGTCTATTTTTTTATCACTTTCTTCTTATTTCTAATGTTTCTGTTTTGTCTTTGATGCAGGCGGCCCTTCAGAACGTGACTTGGTCCACATGGCCAAGTCCATGATTAAAGTCGTCCCTCAAGAGGAGAGGGACGCGGTCAAGGGAGTCGGCACCCTTGACTTAGATGGCATTATGGGTCTCCTGTCTGAGGTAGACTTAGAAAACTTTACAACTTTATTTCTTTGCTTGCCGCCTGCTTCTTCTGACGCCTGTTTTTCCTGTTTTCAGGCCATGTTGAGAGTACACGGCCTTCGTAGGCCGATCAACGCCAAGACCAAAGAGGTAAAAGCTGCTAAGGCTATGGCCGCCTCTGACGTTGATAAGGCAATGTTTCAAATTGCCCAAAATGAATTTTTGACAACTGATATTCTTTATTATCAGGCGCAGGCCACTGCCAACATTCGTACTGAGTTGGAGGCGGCCAAGAAGAGAAACAACGAGCTGGAGGTAACGGTCAAGAGTCTTAGAGATGAGCTGAGGCCACTTAAGGAGAAGATGACTCAATACGATACCTTGGAGAAATCCTTGGCTTCTGTCAAGGAGCGCTTGTTCCGATAGGAGAAGAGCCTTACTGATGAGCTCTCGGCCAAGGCCGAAAAAGAGAAGATGGAGCTGGCCCAGGCCATGATGGAGGATTCCGCTCAAATCATGAAGATGACCTGGATGGCTCTTTTTCCAAAAGCTCATTATGCCGCCTAGGAGAAGAAGTTTGCTGCTTGTACTGAAAGGTACAACCAGCAAATCATGAAGCAGGCGGCTAAAGAGAACCAGGCGGCCGAGTCCAGCTCAGAAGAAGTGGAAGAGGTGGAGGTGGCCCTGCAGCCAATTGGGGTAGTTGCATCTACAGAAGCGGCCCCTGATGCCGAAACAAGCAAGAAGGAGACCTCTTAGAACTAGGCGCCTCTTGATGTTCAGGCGGCCGACAATACAGAAACCCCACCTCAACCCTGATGATTTTTGTACTCAACTTTCCTTCGGCCTGCGTGCCGTTTGCTTTTGTATCTTTTTACCTAGCCAGGGGGCCGGGGTCTTGAATATTTTTTCCGGTCTATGTGGCCGGCTGTTTATATGATTTCGGCGACCATCATTTTGGTCGTCTTAGCTCACCAAGATTTCGAATTTTGCTTTAAGATTTCGAATTTTGCCTTTTTATTTTTGCTAAGTGTCGAAGATCTTTGATATTCGCTTGCATGTCATATCGACTGTTTCGCATGGCCGATAGTTGCAAGTAGGTACAATGTAAGGGCCGCCTATGCCCCTGGTCGACTGGTTGTCTTAGTTCCAGGTTTGGCGATTAGTCGGCCATTTAACAAGCCAGACCCCAACATTTTTTAGTTAATACATTAGGCTTGCTTAGCTTAAGATGGAAAAGTAGAACAAGTTCATGAGTTCTGGTTTGCTAAAAAGCAGTCGTCCTGCGAACCAACTCTTCAAATATGTCTTTTGAATCCTGGCTAAGTGTGAGAGTGATTATAAGTAACCTTGGAAGTTGCTCACTCGTCATGTTTAAGCTTGAGTAGTAGAAGCACCAAGCGGCATAGGCCGGTTGGTCCCCTTGATTCACCAAATTTTGTTGGTTATTTACTCAAGATGCAATAACTTAGTAAGAACAAGGGTTTGAATTTTCCTGTTCAAGAAACAAGCGGTCTATAAAAACCTTTTAGATTTCGCACCAAGTGTTAGGGAGTTACTATAAGTTAACATTGATGTTACTTACTCGTTGTCACTTTTGTTTGAGTAGTAGAGGTACCAGGCGGCGGAGGCCGGCTGGACCCCTTTATTCGCCAATGTTTGTTGGCTTTTAACTCAAAAGGTACCGGCTGTACTTATCCCAAGTAGTATAGTCGGCTATCTGATGCGGATGTTAACTGCTAATACTCGCTGGACCGGTGATAGAGTTATCCTTGTCTCAGAAACGGCTATGTGGTTATCTTAGTGGACAGTCGTATAGGTGTCGTGTAGTTAGTTTATAAAACAATGTTCCACCCAAAAGGGAGCTGCTCTCTGTGATGAATTTCATCCGGATGGATGCCGCCGGACGCCTGCTATGATGTTGGGACAGGTCGGATTAGTTTTAAAAGTTGGATTAGTTGGCTTGGCGCCTGGTCTGATCATTTCAGTCATATGCCTTAGATAGTTCTTTGTGAACTATGAGAGAGTAGCCGGTTTGTATAGAACAGGCGGCATGCCCCTCTTTATTGAATGCGTATTTACAAAGTATGGAGAGTAGCCGACTGTTTTACCAGTAGGCGTGCCCCTCCAAGTACAAAATAAATGAAGTAAAATAGCAAACTTTTTATTAGTAGCACTCGGCTATTTACATCATTCAGAAATAATATTTTTTGAGATTATCTACATTCCAGGTTCGAGGCAAGGGTTGGCCGTCTGGTGTTTCCAAGCGGTAGGTACCGTCTCAAGCCTCTTCATAAATTCGGTAGGGTCCTTCCCAGTTGGGAGTTAGTTTGCCTGACTCATTAGCCCTACCGACTGCTTCTATTTTCCTTAGCACAAAGTCACCCACTTTGAGTGGATGCCTATGTACTATTTTGTTATATGATCTTGTCATTCTCAGGCGGTATATTTCATGGCGCAAGGCTGCATTTCCCCTTCTTTCTGGGAGTGAGTCCAAAGCCAGGCGCATGGACTCCCAGTTCGACTCTTCGTCATACAGCATTACTCGAAGAGTCGGCTCATAGTGTTCAATTGGAAGAACATCTTCTGCACCATAGGTTAGGAGGAATGGAGTCTCTCCAGTCGACCCTTTTTCAGTCGTCCTAATGGCCCAGAGAACATGTGGTAGTTCATCTGCCCATAGGCCGCCTGCTCGTTCAATCTTCTTTTTAAGACCGTCTGAGATGATTTTGTTGAAAGCTTCTACTTGGTCGTTTGCTTGTGGACGACCGACTGATGCAAAGCAGTGCGAGATGCCTTGGTCTCCCAACCAGTTTTTGAGAACAGGCGTCTCAAATTGGGGACCATTATCAAAAACCATAGACATGGGTACCCCAAACCGAGTGATGATATTTTTCCAAATGAATGAAATTACATCCTTCGTCTTGATTCCCTTGACAGCCTCTGCCTCTACCCATTTAGTGAAGTAGTCGACTGCAACAAGTATGTACTTCTTGCCGCCTGTAGCAGGCGTATAGGGACCCAGGATATCCATGCCCCACTTAGCAAACTGTAGTGGGCTGTGGATAGCAGTGAGATCAGTAGCCGGACGGTGAATTAATTTGCCAAACCTTTGACATTTATCACATTTTTTCACCATCTCCATTGCATCTGCTTCTAAAGTAGGCCAAAAGTAACCCTGCCGCCTACATGGGAAGCACAATAGCCGGAGTGAAGATCTTCTAGAACCTCTCGTCCTATTTCTGGAGTAACACACTTCAAGAAGGGTTGGAGGTACCCTCTCTTGTGAAGTTCTCCCTTTATCATTTCGAAACTGAACGCTCGTTTTTTCAGTGTGGCCGCCTGGTGATGATCATCCGGCAAGGTCCCGTCTGTTAAGTATGCCTTGATTGGATCCATCTAGGTTGAACTTCGATCTAAAATTCCAATAGGGTCTTCCTCAATGCTTCTTTTCTCCATAACCTCCCAGAAAACAGTTCTTGGAGCATCACAAGAGGCCGAGGATGCTAACTTTGAAAGAGCATCCGCCTGGTTATTTTCAGATCTTGGTACTTGATTCAGATGAAATTTTTCAAGGGATCCGACTGCTTGTCGTACCGCTTGTAAATACTTGATCATGGCCGGATGAGTCGCTTCGTATTCTCCATTGTACTGACTCACTATCAATTGCGAATCAGAACAGGCGTCTATCTTTCTTGCCACAGCCGCTTTGCACATGCGGATTCCGGCTAGTAAAGCTTCATATTCTACCTCATTGTTTGAGGCTTGAATGTTGAAACGCAGAGCGTACTCATACATGTCGCCCTCTGGCGACTGAAAAATAACGCCTGCTCCGTAACCATTTGAGGTGGAGCTTCCGTCCACGTAAACCTTCCAGACTTGGTCTGAAATTTGAGAATCAGAGGGCCGAGTCATCTCTACAATAAAGTCAGCAAAAGCTTGTCCCTTTACTGCTTTCCTGGGCTCGAATGTGATTTCGAGGCTTTGAATTTCTATTGCCCATTTGATCATCCGGCCTGACAACTCCATGGTTGTCAGTGGCCGCTTGATCGGTTGATCTGTATACACAACGACTGCATGTGCCAAGAAATAGGGATTTAATTTTTTAACGGCCATGAAGAGAGCAAGACCGAACTTTTCCACTAAGGGATACCTCAACTCGGCATTTTTCAATACGTGGCTGACAAAGTCGACCGGGAGCTGGCAGCCGTCTCTTTCAGTAAGGAGGACATCGCTTAGAGCATGGTCAGAAACTGCCAGATACATGTAAAGCACTTCTTTGGGCAAAGGACTGACCAACCTTGGGAAGGAATGTAAGTGAACTTTCAATCTTTGGAAGGCCGCCTCAGCATCTGGCCCCCATTAAAATCTTGCCTTCTTCTTTATTGCCCAAAAAAAGTAAAGGCACTTGTCGCCTGACCGACTGAGAAATCTTCCTAGAGCTGCCAGACAACCTGTTAACTTCTGAACCTCTCGGACGGTGCGAGGCGACTGCATGTTAATGACCGCCTGCACTTTCTCATGGTTCGCCTCTATTCCTCTCTGATTGATGAGGAATCCGAGAAATTTCCCAGACTCAACCCTAAAAACACATTTCTTGGGATTGAGCATGACATGGTGCCGCCTGAGTGTGGTGAAAGTTTCTCGGAGGTCCGCCAGGTGGCCAGACTGAAGCTTGGACTTAACAATCATATCATCAATGTATGCCTCGACATTCCTCCCAATTTGGGCAAAGAAGACCGTATTTATCATTCTTTGGAAGGTGGCCGGGGCATTTTTCAAACCAAACGACATGACTGTGTAGCAATATAGCCCTTGATCAGTGACGAAGGCCGTCTTCTCCTGATCTTTCTTCCACAAAGGAATCTGATGGAAGCCAGAGTAGGCGTCCATGAAGCTCATCAATGCATGGCCGGCTGTTGAGTCGACCAGTCTGTCAATTTTGGGCAGAGGATAACTGTCCTTGGGGCACACCTTGTTTAGGTCAGTGTAGTCCACACACATTCGCCAGGTACCATTCGGCTTCTTAACAAGTACAACATTTGCAACCCAGTCTGGGAAGTAACATTGTCGAACGAACCCTGCATCAAGCAGCTTTTTAACTTCGGCAGCTGCCGCCTGACTCTTCTCTTTGCCATGGTTCCGCTTCTTTTGCCTGACCGGCTTCTTTTTTGGATCCACAGCCAGTTTATGTACCACCAGGTCAGGACTGATTCATGGCATTTCATGAACCTCGAATGCAAAGATATCTTTGAATTCCTTTAAAAGTTGGTGAAAATCTTCACCTAGAATTATAAGAGCAGTCGTCCCAACCTTGATTGTTCGGTCAGGAGGCAAGTCGTCTAGGACAAGGTCCGTATGTTCACCAGCCGGCTGAGGGCGGAATTCATCTGACCGCTCCTCTGCCAGTGATTGCTATCTTCTTT